ATTTCTAGTTGTGTCCTCTTTTGGAAGGCCAAACAAAGTAGTTTCGCTTTCACAACGAAACACACGGCGGGCTATAGTGAGCGGAGGCCGGCTTGAGTGAACGGAGGCGGGTGGGCTTGAGAACGACGCGGCCGGCGGATTCGACGAAGGAGCATCCGGCAGGTTTGCACACTCCAAAGAGAAAGGAAAAATTGAAATCGCATCATATGACCCCTTTAAGATCAAAATGTCATAAGCCAGGTTTCTATCCACATATTTTTAGGCAATCTTTGGCTAGATTAAAACACAGAGACGCAAATAAAATGTGCAAAAAAAAAAAAAAACTCGCTTTAGGTGGAAACATTGTTTTATTCAGTAAGAAGACATTTGCATAAACTGCAATAGAAACATGTTTACCAGGAAAATTCATAGTTGTGCATCAAAAAGGTGTGACTTTGCCTGAACAAGTTACATGAATGAATATTTCTCTCAGAGAACAAAAGAAAATGTTGCTTTGGTCATTCTAAAATGCCAGAGCCAAAGCCTGTCATTACAATGATTGGCTATTATTACCACCTTGAACTGTCTGACACACTCTCACTCCCCAGACATAAGGCGTCTTCTGCCAATTGCTAACAAATATGTTCTTCAGAGCATTTTGTTTGCGTAAGTAATTATTGTAAATAATAATGAGCCACAATGGTGTCCCCAGTGGCTACAACTTGTATTTCTATTTTGTGTTATTTTTCCATTTTTGTTATTTCTGTAAGTTTTTTTTTTTTTTTTTTTGCGATTAATCTGATTTTCGAGTCCCTTGTAGAGAACAGATCTTGGGAATGTATCTGATTTGCGGTAACTCTGGTTAATTCGCAGCGTGATATAAAAATACCCTAAAGGGAATGTGATTATCTGGGGTCTTGTGAGCTTAGCCTTTCTTCACTTCAAAAGTCCAACAACTCCATCCCTTGAATAAATATCTCTCCTCCTCTCTCTTTCAGTCCATTTCCACTTTTCTCTCTTAGTTGACTCTGTAAACTAGTGACTGAAAGCAACAGAAAATAATCTCCATATGTGAAATACATCAGCTCTTCTCTTCTACTCTGTTTCTCTCTTGTTAATTCTTCCTCAGTGTTCATAACAGTGATTTTGATTTTCAATATGTTTTAAAGAATGTGACTAGCACTGTGACTAGAAAAGAGCTCGGAGACTGTTTCTCAGCTCAGCTTTAATAATGTAACATCAGGTACAGTATATGAGTGGGATTTTTGGTGGGTTTACAAAGGATTTTGAAATCTAATATATAAACTAGTCTTTAAATCCCTGGATACAAAAACATACTAACTCATAACATATATACAGTGACTAAGTACATATCAGGTATATCAAGAGATATCCTGTGAACTTCATTTTTCTAAGAATCTTGAGCATTCATACCACAATGTAATTTCCACTGCATCAGATTATGTATTGAGTTTATTAGCATTCTGTGATGGTTATATTTTAATAAAATGTAGGTCTCATTTGTCAAATATACTTTTGTAATAACTCTAAATGTATCTGAAATTTATTAGAATCATTTTTTATTATTATTTTATAATTTATTACTGTTTTTTTGGCAGTACATAAAAAATGAAAAAAAAGAAGAAACATTCATATTAACATGAAAATGTTTTTATAATTAGATTAAATTCACTTCATTACAGTAAAATTAATTATAAATTATATTTAAGGTAGTCTTATATAAGCTGATAATTATTGCAAAGAAAGGGAAATAAATAAAAGCACATGAAATATTGCATTTAAGTATTTTATTATTTGATGAGAAAGAGGTCACGATACACATGAAAGTATCACAGCTGTGTAGAAAATTAATCAGATACAGTGCAGTTGTACATGTACAAACAAACGATAGATAGATAGATAGATAGATAGATGATCTTTCACTGAGTCTGTAAACATAGAACAGCACTCGGTCGTTTGAGCAACAGTTTGTGTGTGGTGTTGTACTGGTGTCAGAGTCCTGGCTGAATGGACTTTTGAGTTGTTTTGTTTTGTTTGCAAAGACAAGATTTTCACTGACTGAGCAATGCGAATACCACAGTCAGAGTAGTAAGATATTATGAACACATCACTTTTACCTAGTCATCTGACTAGTCTTCTAGTCATCATCTAGTCATCTAGGTTATTTTTCATATTTTTATATAAAGTTAATTATAATTACTACTATATGTGTAGATTAGGGTGTTTATGGTTTAGGGACATGTCCCTATTAAATTACAATTAATTAAAATTAATTATTAAAAATGGTTAACACTTACTATGGGTCCTGTGTGTGCAATACTTAGCTTAGCAAGTGTTTGCACCTCTCAACGACACTTAACCATTTTTTATCCTAAACTGTGTTTTTACATTCACTTTAAAATTCACTTTTTTTTTGTATTAAATTGCTATAAACATGTTAAAATATTGTTGACTTGTTAAAAACTTGCTGTATGTATATGTATTATACTCCCATACTCACTACTGTTAAAAAGTTTGGGGGTAATTAAGGTTATTCTTTTTTTATTCAGTAGGATACATATAATTGATCAAAAGTGATAGATTTATGTTTCAAAATTGATAATTGGTGTTCTTTTGAACTTTCTGTTCATCATTTCGAAATCCTGGGGGGGAAAAATGTATCACGGTTTCCACAAAAATATTAAGCAACACAATCGTTTTCGAATTTGATAATAGAAGAAATGTTTCTTGAGGACCACAGTTGTTAAAATAGACAATTGTTATTAACCGTTATCACACTGTTTACTGTATTTTAGATAAGCCTTCTCTTTCAAAAACATGAAAAAATATTACCAACCCTAAAATTTTGAACCGTACTGTGTGTGTGTGTGTGTGTGAATCAGCCATTTGCATGAATCAAATGAATGAATGACTCAGTTGCTTACTCATTAAGATATATAATGTATATATAATATAAGATTTTTTCATTTAACATTTTTTTTTATGTTTCGAACATAACTGCTATTAAAACCAAATCTACAATCTTAATTACTGCACACCAAACCTAATACTACACCAAAAATACATATTTTTTTACAAATAATTAATAAACATTGTTTTCTTTATTCTTGAATCACTTTCATGTCATGTTGCCGGAAGTTCCTAAAAGTTGTGTTTGTAGATGTAGCTCACTTCTTGAAGCAATTTTGTCCCCAAAGTAACTAAACACCCACTGGAGAAAGGTGACTTGCTTATTGCCTGAGAGGCTGATATTGCATCTTTCTCCATTTGCAGAGTTGTAACTTCATGGTGGCAGAGCTTACATTATAAACTATTAAAAGTAAATTATGTATCAAATGTCTGATTGGTTCCAGATAACTATTACGGCACCCCGAAGCCCCCGGCAGAGCCCAGCCCACTGCTGCTGAATGTAGCTGAGCAGCTGTTGCCAGGCGCTACACCCAGATCACAGGGCAAACGCAGACGTAACAAGTCCGTCAGCAACATGGAGAAGGCTGGCATCGAGCCGCCCGAAGAGGAAGAGGAGGAGAGGCCCGTCATCAACGGCAACGGAGTGGCCATCACCCCAGGTGAGGAGCTCTCAATCAGTTTAAGAAGAAGAGAGATCTTGTCATGTGCGGCTCTCTAGTGTAGTAAGTTCATTTACAGCTGTGACCTCAGATCAGGGTTACTAGCATAGAGGTGACTACTGTCGGGCCACTAGGTGCATCATCTATCATAGCAACCACCTCCATTCTAAATTATCTCATAGTAACTACTGTTGTCAGGGCAATAGCCTAGCAACTGTCGCACCAGCATGTTATCACACATTCCCTGGTTTTCACTCTCTGCGGGGCGGAAACGTGCATCAAGACTGGATGTACTGAAAAAAACTTTTGTTTTCTTCTGGCTTTAATACAGCAGCATGACATTGTGAATTAGAATCTAACACACTAGAGAGAGAATTGTTGACATGTAGTAATATAAAGAACTGCCAGAGGAAAATGTATTGCTCAGAGCTCTTTAATAGCTCAGTGCACTTAAATTCAACATGAAATCAAAATTGACCCTATTTGCTTTCTTAATACAAGTTCCTGGTCTTATTGTGCACGATTCATCAGTCCATGTTGTTCGAAACAAGGAGAAAAATATAAAACTTGCTCTGCTTCAAAAACAACTTTCAGTTAACATCGACTGGAAATAATGTTAACCAAAGGCCAAATAGCTCTTTAGGCATTGTTTTCTAAGGTTTTCTAAAATCTTGCCAGTATTCATTTAATGTTGCTTAAAGGCACAATATGTAAGAAAATCATTAGCTCATCCATGAACATGATTTCTGCCCGAGTCCCGTCGGATTGCTTCGGCTGTGGGGATGAAGACGACAACTCCCATGATTCCACACTCAGTCACGGCGTCATCAAACTACGCCTTTGTCTCTTTGTTTATTTTGAATACGCGCCCTCTAGCGGCGAAAATTACATATTGTGCCTTTAATGTTGATGTAGTGATGTTTATGGCAATAATGGCAAATAAACACCCTAAAGGGGTAGTTCACCCAAAAATAAAAATTCTGTTATAATTTACTCAACCTCATGTCACCCAAACCTATAAGATGTTCATTCATCCTCAAAACACAAATGAAGACATTTTAACGTAACCTGAGAGATTTTGGTAACACTTTATTTTAAGGACCAATTCTCACTATTAACTAGTTGCTTATTAGCACGCATATTGGCTGTTTATTAATACTTAAAAAGCACATATTAATGCCTTATTTTGCATGAGCATATTTTAGATCCCTTAATCCTAAACATACCTAAACTTAACAGCTACCTTACTAACTATTAATAAGCAGCAGATTTGGATTTTATTGAACATGTGTTCCCTATTCTAAAGTGTTACCGAGATTTGTGTACCTCCATTGAGCTTCTACCAAAACTTTGATGCTTCCAAAAGTACATAAAGGCATTGCAACAGAAATCCATATGAACTGAGCTGTTTAGTCCAAGTCTTCTCCTTTATATGTTGAATAGATTTAATTTAGGCTGTTTTTCACATATAAACCACAATTAAAATTGATCAATGCATATACATAGAGCAAATCAAATATGGTAAATGGAAGCTCACCTGTACTTGCTTGATGTGTGAGAACAAACCTAATTGGTTCTTGTGCCGTAAAGGAGACATATTATGCCCCTTTTTACAATATGTAATATAAGGCTCTGGTGTCCCCAGAATGTGTCTGTGAAGTTTCAGCTCAAAATACTCCACAGATCATTTATTATATCATTTTGAAAATGCCTATTTTGAGTGGAAGCAGAAACACGCTGTTTTTCGGGCCTGTCTCTTTAAATGCAAATGAGTTGCTGCTCCCCGCCCCCTTTTCCAGAATAGAGCTGCACCTTTACAGCTCGTACCTGCTAAAAAACATCTGTTTTGGTTCTGATTATCATGTTTATCGCTCTGAAATCATGCGTTTTAAACCGTATGAGTTTAAACTTCTGATATACGTTTTCTCGTTTCCATGGTTGGTAGATGCACCGGGGACCTGATTATAGCACTTAAAACCTGGAAAAGTCAGATTTTCATGATATGTCACCTTTAAGCAGGTACAGTACCATATTTGACTTTTGTGTTTCAAAGATGAATGAAAGTCTTATGAGTTTGGAACAACACAAGGCTGAATAATTGATGACAAAATGCTCTTTTTTGGGGGTCAACCAACCCTTCAGCCTCCACATCCTAGTCAAAAAAGTGGGTAAATATTATTTCACTCAGAAATATGTAACATTATGGAAATAAAATGAGTTGCAAATGGTGTTTGTCAACTTCACTAAAGTATCGATTTTGTCTTTCAACGTTTTTCTTAAAATTCTTTGGGAAATAAAAACCAATAAGACAATTTTTGACAGCAAGTAAGAGTATATAATAAAGCTAGAATATTAATGTGGATAACCCAAATAATGTGGCCTTGGGATTTTATGTAAAATGTTTCAGCTCATATTGAAATCTCTGACTTTTCATTGCGCGCTTTGGTATCTTGCAATATCTGAGCACAGTCTGAGATGTTGATGAAATATTTGAGACACATTGTTAGGAGATAAGAATATTCTTTATTTCTGTTGTGCACCATCTTAGATGTATTGTTTTGGTATTTACAGTATATAAAACAAATATATGGTTTTTACATGCCTGGAAAATATTCTCAATTTATCCACCATTGGCAAGTGTGGCAAAAAGACGATGTGCCCCTTTGATGATTTTAAATGTTGTCTAAATAGGCAGCTCACTAGGTTTTGGAACAGAGCTTGTGTGTGGAATTGAGTGAAGCTGTCCTCTCATTTTTCAGTTGATTAAAACATCAGTACTGCTGAATGTTATGGGATTCTGTGTCTTTTTCTTTCGTCTCTCCCTCTCTCTTCCCCTCGATCTGTCTTTTGTGCCTTTCCTATGGGACCTCCATCCTCCATAACTCAAACTAGGACACGTTCGGCTCTCTATTTTTTTTTTCCCTCTTCTTCTCTCTCGCTTTCTCACTGCAGACTCTATTTTAATCACTCCGCTTATTTCACCGTTTCAGTCCGGCTAACTCCATCTCTGTCTGTTCTTCCATCATTTCTTACAGTCTTCTCTAACATGCCCCTCTGACAGTGACCTGCTTTTCAATTCTCTCAGAAACTCCAAATCTACATCTCCCTCTCATAAATATTGTCTCTGTCTGTCTCGCTCACATTCGCCGGTTTCTCTGTAGACTTGGACTCTTAGTTTCACCAGCCGTGCCGATAAATTTAGAGACGACTCCCAGAATATTGCATTGGATTGTTGTAAATTTGACAGCTTCTTTTTATAAGCGTAGCTTCTCTTGGTGATTATTTTGTTGAATCATATTACACCGTTCATCTTTATTTATCCACATCTACTGTCTGATTCTTTTTAATTGATTGAGGTGTTTGAATCGGAGGTCTGCAGTTTCTCTTGTTAAAATGTTGTACATTTCGTTTAATTCAGGCAGTTTAAACAGTTTACTGTTTTTAGACTTTTCATTATGACATTGGTGAGAGTTTAATTGATTACATAAAGCATGATTTTTTAGGACTTCAGTTAAAAGCAGTTTTTCTTGCATTTTTCAGAGTCCAGTGAACATGAAGACAAGAGTACAGACGCCTTAGGAGAGATGCCCACCACATTCCCCTCCGAGACTTCCACAGATGCCCCTGAAGAAGAGACAGAACCACCAAAATCACCGCTCAAACTGGACGAGAATGACGAGTTGGATCCTCTGCCAGATAACTGGGAGATGGCTTACACTGAGAAAGGAGAAGTGTACTTTATAGAGTGAGTATCTGTATCGGTCTAATTTTCAGTGAATTCGAATTCTAAATTATAATCAGCATTATTTAAAGGTGCATTCAGTATTTTTTTACACAGAGATTTAAATGAATAGAATTAATAGTAATTTTGGAAAGAAGAGAAAAAAAAAGTAAAATCATGAACATTGAGCAGTATGCCATGTTTCGATCACATGACCAGCTAGTCACAATTTGAGTTGAATTACTGAAATAAATGAACTTTTCCACGACATTCTAATTTATTGAGATGCACCTGTATTAAATAAATGTATATAATATAATATTTTATAATGTGTAATATACAATTAGTAGTATTTTTTCAAGATTTTAATGATAAAATCCTATATATATTTATATCAGCAACCATCAGAGTTGATGAAGCCCATGGTTTTCCCACAGAACTGGGCTACTTTTAAACTGTTGAGGCAGGTTACAGATATTTTCCCTATATTTGACTGAAATGCTTGTGTTGAAATATTTAATATTCTACTAATGATAAAACTGTGCTAGATTATTATTTTAGTGAGGGAAGTATGATCTGACATGACAACATAAAGCAAAATTTACTGAGTGCACCTTTGTATAGAATTCATTGAAGCTGTTTTTTGCGTGCATGCTCCAGACCATATTGAGCCTTGGTGCTCATGCAAGATATACAGGTTCTGATTCAGTGACATCTGTTGATTCCATTTACATTCTTTCTCAACTAGGTCAATTATAGATTTTTTGTTGTTGTTGTTGTTGTTTTGTTTTGTCACTTTTCTTTTCATTTCATTTGTTTTTTGCTTTGTTTTTAACCATGGCTTTGTGATTAGCATCAGACCTTGCCCATACCCAGTGCTGTTTATTAAATGAGTTAATTTAGAGCCTGAATCACTAAAATTATTATCTAAATCAGGCAACGGCACAAACATGGACCAAAACCACACTGTAAAAAAAAAATCTGTAGTTTTTACAAAATAATTTTGGCAGCTGTGTTTGCCAGAATAATTTTGTAAAAAATACAGAAAAAAAACCATGATTATTTAAACAAAATACTTTCAAATGTGTAGTGTCATGCAGGGAATTCTGGGAATATCAGTTTACTGTTTTTGACTGTAAATTATACATTGATTTGTTATTTTTACTTCTAAAAACTGTAAAATTAACAGCATTTTACTGTAAAATTACATGAAGTATCTGGTTAGATATTTTACAGTTTTTCCCTGTATATAGTACGGGAACTTACTGTTAACCTATTAACAGTTTTTTTCCGTAGCGTTTTTTAAAAATTTTACAGTTAAAATTACAGTTATTTTTTACAGTGCACTATAATCCAGCCACCTGAATCATCTCTTTTAAATGCTAAAAGTGTGTTGGACTGTACAGCGCTCTCGGCCCCGCCCCCACTTGTCACACCCAGTTATAACACACTTTTTATCATTTGATCTATAGATGAATCACTGTTGCCATGATCAATAAACATTTACACAAACATCTCTGTTTAAAACCAGTTTCCATGGGCTATAATAGTGCAACATTAATTGTACCATACTTTTTAATTTCATAAATACATAGATTGTCATTATTTAATGATGTTATATAAAGATAATGCATCTTACTGATTATTTATTCATACAAATTAAATTTGTAAAAAGCATACATAAATATACACACTTTGATTGCTAGGAACGTGTGTGTGTTTTTACAGTACTGTGTTTTTCCACAGGGACAGTAGTTATTTTCTGTTCATAACATCGTACTGTTCATAACAGAAGCTGTATGTGAGTGACTCCGAATGATGCTTTATGAAACACCACACACACACACAAACACAGTTTGCTCTGGCCCACACAGTGTGACTATTGAGGATTTAATGGAGTTGTCAAGCAGCCAATGGTGCCTTGTTTTTCTCGATCTCCCTCACAGACGGAGCGTCTTTAATACTCAAACTGTAGACACTTCTCCATATGTCTATCTCTCACCATGAACACACACACACACACTCATACTGGACCAAATTAATCATGACAAAATGTCTCTGTACATGCATTTAGTCACATTTAAACTCCCAAAGCAACCAAACATAAGCTGCGGAAATGCACTGTGCCAGTAGAATGTCTTTTGATATGCTTTTATATTAAATACATTTTCTGTAAGAGAGAGGTGAATCATAAAGAGACACTGGGGAGAAAGACACAAACTGAAAGACAGAGACACAAGGGCAGAAGTGTGGAGTGTCATAGAGAACGAGCAGATCAAAGGTGCACCATCTTTTCGCCCCTGGCTGCAATTTCTCTGGCCGGTCACTTGGCAGAGTGCCGTCAGTCGAGTCCCATCACTGAGACAGTCGAGTCTACCTTTCTCCCACTGATCTCAGAGCTGTTTCTTCTGCTACTTTAGACAAATATGTGTCTAACACTAAGCCCCAAAACACACTGAATGTACGTGAATGCATAATATACATGAACAAAAATGCTTCTTGCTTGTGTTCCGAAATATGTTAGCATGCAATTAATAATAAAACTTTTTGGAAGTATTTGTTTAGCGTTGCTGTTGAGCATCATACCAAGCTATTTTGTTTTGTTTTTAGTTTAGTTTTTTTGTTTTTGTTGTTTAGTTTTTGTTTTTGTTTTTGTTTTAGTTTGGATTTGGTTTTGTTTTCAGTTATTTTGTTTTGTTTTGTTTTGTTTTGTTTTGTTTTGTTTTGTTTTGTTTTGTTTTGTTTTGTTTTGTTTTGTTTTGTTTTGTTTTGTTTTGTTTTGTGTTTTGTTGTGTTGTGTTGTTTTGTTTTGGTTGTGTTGTTTTGTTTTGGTTGTTTTGTTTTGTTTTGTTTTGGTTTGGTTGTTTCATTTTGTTTCGTTATTAGTGTCAGACCTTGTCAGTGCCCAGATAATAAGGTGCCCCATTAATTTTTGATAGGATTTAAATTGTTGCATTTTGTAGCAGTCAACAGCATTTAAATCATTTTGACATCAAAAATCATATCAAAAGCTGGCATCCACACTGACAATCAAAAATGAAATGGTATTGCGCAAACCCATGCTAGCCCTTGAGCTAATGTAAAACAAGGTTTTACCTGGAAAACAAATAAGAACTTGAAGTGTTTGGAGTCATTACTGGGTAAAAGATTAAATTAGATCAACTTTATTGTTCCAAAAGGAAATTTGTGTTGAACACATACAATATGATATATGCTGTTTAAATACAATACATATATATAAAAGAGGGAATTTGTGAACTGCTTATACTTCACTGCTAACTCAATGTAATTGTAAGTAACTAATGCATGTAGCATTAATTAGCATAATTGGCCAATTAACAGATGGTAATGTTGTATGAAATATTGAGACGGTAGTATCAACATTTTAAACGGATCTCTGTCACACGCACACACTCACATTTGCGTCATCAGTTGCTGTACTCTCATTGGTTCTTCCCTAGATGGGTTTCAGATGCAGTCAGAACTTTGTTGGAGGCTAAGATTAATTTCAAAGGCTATTAATTAGCGGTTGGTAAGCATGTTACACTACTAAGTCACAAGAATCTCCCAATTTTGCCAAATCTTTCAAAAGAAATCTTTATTATGACTCCTGAAATTGGTCTCAGAGGACAAAATTGTGAGGAAAAAACATTGTGTGCTAAACAGTTTATCGCCGCTCATGTTCGGTTCTCCTCCCTCATAAGTCACTCACATCTTCCTCGCATCTCTGTCCTCCTCCTCTCTTTCTTGCTGTGCTAATGAGAAGCTTACAGCTAATTAAAAGTATCGATTGCCATTTTGTTAAGCTAAACTTTTTTCTCACCCTCGTTTGGAGATGAGATCTCCGGATACTTCCTTTCAGTCTCTCTCGTCTCCTCAGCATGATGATTTACAGTAGCAGTTTGCAGCACTCTCATCTCTCTCTCTATTCCTCTTCATCTCTTTTCCTTTTCTGCTCCATTTCTCTTCTCTCCAGCCACAATACGAAGACGACGTCCTGGTTGGACCCCCGGCTTGCGAAGAAAGCGAAGCCCCCTGAAGAATGCAAAGAGAACGGTTAGTGTTTATCTTTCATTTCTCTCTATTTGTTTTGACTCTGTTTGCTTTATTCTCCAAACAGATGGCCAAAAGACAAATGTTTAAAAAGCAACTAGCCACAAGAGGCCGTGTTTTAGTAATTTTTCCACAGTTTTGAAGTGTTACTAGACAAGACGTGAAGCAGAAATGGCTTATTGCTTTTAGAAAACAACAGCAAAGGTCTGATCTGATGAGATACCAATGTTCCTAAAATTATTTAATCAAGTAATATAGATCATTAGCCTAACTGCAGGTTGTTCATGGCTGCTTAGAGCTTTAAAATAATCAAAAATATTTTTTATGACATTTATGTAACTGCAGTATAAGGGCTATCAATATGTTTCTTTCAAGTCAAACATTACTTTTATTATTGCTAGGTAAAATCATGCAGCCTTTGCTATTGGCTTTCGAAGCAGTTGGACAATTTTGTTTGGCAGACCATGTCAAACAATCCCATAGACATGGAAGAAAGGTCCAGAGCTGTATCTAAAGATGAGAATATTCTAGAGCAGGAGTAGCCAGCACTGTTCCTGTAGGGCTACCATCCTGCATAGTTTACTGTAACTTCGACCCTAATCAAACACTTAATCAAGGTGTTCAGGATTACTTAAAAATCACAGCCAGGGGTGTTAGACGGGATTAAAACTTAACTCTGCAAGAAGGTAGCCCTCCAGAAGCAGGGTTGGCTACCCTGTTATAGAAATTTGGGGTTAAACTCCTTGATGTGGGCTGGTGAACAACCACCTATAAAGCACTTAGAACAGTGCTTGCCAAACCTGTCCTGTAGCCCCCCAACAGAGCACATTTTGAATGTCTCCATCATCTAACACACTTGATTCAACTCATAAATGGAGATTGCAAGAGCAAAATTGGGTGTGTCCGATAAGGAAGACATTCAGAATATGTATTTGTGTACACTACCATTATCTTAGCAACACAAAACACCATAGAAATCAGTTAGCAGTGTCCTAGCTACCAATCACAACACTTTAGTTAGCAATATCTGCAGCCACCCATAACTACTTAATAAATACATAGACAAAAACACTTGGTACAACTTAGCAACCACATAGCTATGTCTTTGCAATGACCCACAACATCCAAGCATTGTCGTCGCAAGTTGTGCACGGGCTAGCACCATAGTAGCAACTACCTAGCAGCATACTAGCAACCACCAAGAACACCCTAGTGTCCATCTCATAATGTCCTACCAACCCCAAACACCCTAGCTGCAGTATAACAACACCCTGGCAACCATCTACCAATGCCATATCAACCACCCATAAATGATAAAGCAAACACTCAGAACACCTTAGGAACCCCATTGCAATGCTTTGGCAATGTCCTACAACACCTTGTAGTGGCATTGTAGTGGCAAGTTCAGGACAGCCAAGAATACCCTAGCAACCACTTTAAAAGTGCCAAAAAACACTCAGAACACCTTGGTTTTTGCACAACCAAACATCTCTCAGAAACACCCTAGCAATTTTGCAATGCGCTACCAAACATCCCTTCAAAACTGCATACCAATGCCATGGCAACCACCCAGAACACCGGAGAAACCACTTAGCCATGCCTTAGCAACCACCCAAAACACCATGACATGATGGAGGAAAGATTTGCACGACAAAGTACCTCTCAGAAACACCCTAACAACCATATAACAACCCTACCAAATATCCCTTCACAAACACGTAGCAACGGTGTGGCAACCATCCAGAACACCCTAGTGACCGTATAATTAATGGCAAAAAAAAACACTCATGGCATGGCTTGGCAACCACGGACAGCACTCTAGCATTGTGGAGACATCCAAAAAAACCTTAAGCAGTATTCTAGAACCCACTTAGAACATTTAGGGATTCTAGGAATGCCATAGCAACCACCCAAAACATCCTGACGCCATGGGGGAAAGTTTTGCACGACCAAGCTCACAAACACTCAAGCAATTTTGCAATGCCCTACCAAACATCCCTTCACAAACACATAGCAACACCGTGGTAACCACTCAGGACACCCTAGCAACCACCTAGCAATGCCCTGGCAACCACCCAGAACATTCTAGCATCACGGCGGTAAATTTTACACTGGCAAACACCTCTCAATGTATTCTACAGCAGGTGTAATAATCACATTTTTCCGCTGGTTACTCTGCACTCTACTTCTAGCACTCATAAGTGTGTTTGTGAAATGATCTTGAGCTGAAGCATCTCGAAAGTGAATACGTTGTTAAATTAATCATGTCTGCAAGGGTATTCACCGCTGTTTTACCTGCTGTAAGAGGATTTATTCATCACTACCTTCCTCCCAGTTCACACATTCGTGCACTAAAATCTACCTTCATGTTTGCGATATAATCAACTGTGCCAGTGCATCAGGGGCTGCTTGTTAGCATGCATGTGCGAGACGGCGCATTTCACATATCAGCGGATTCCCGCAGTTCAAAGGCCTGTCAGCCAGCATTGTGAAAACACTCATCACTGCGGATTTGCGCAGACGTGCGTTGCGTAACTCGACCGCCCTCTTTTGTTTCGAAACTGAAGGGAAGACACAGCTCTGGATGCAAATCAAAGTCATCTGCTGTTTTCTTTAATACGTTCATGTTCCTAGACTGTTTGTTTCCCCCCGAATATTTACCGCGGCACGGAGTGAAGTTTCCGTAGATATGCCACAGTCGTCTCTCCTGTTTACCTGTCAACTCGCCTCTCTCCCTGTGTCAATGTTTCTCTCTGATGGTGCGAATTCCCTGGGTTTGCGAGTGAATGAATAAGCACAACTAACATGTCTCTCTGTGTCTGTCACTCGTGTTTCATTGCATTTCATCATTTCTGAAGCCGTCACTGTCAGCGAGCACCCCAAAAAAATATAACACGCTCACACTCGCTGGGAACAGGTGGAGATATATTACAGAAACAGATGCATGGATGGATTGATGGATGGATGCGGCTTTATCAATTGACAGCTGTGTCAATGCAGGAATTATATTTGTTTTGTCAGTGATATTGTACAAATTAGCTAAATTAATGAACAAAATGTAGACGCAAAAGCCCAACAGCATTGCATAACAGCACACACGGTGTGATTTTCCCCGAGATGTTTATTCATGCAAGTTGCATGAGGTGTCACAGCAATTTTGTGCCATTGTGCATTCTTAGAACGACAAAAAGCCAAATTTTCCTATAGCTGCAACTATTGAGATTGGATTTTAAATAGAATATTCTGGTCCATAAACGTTAGTTTTGTGCATTTTCTCATGAGTAATTAGTTTAGTTGCCGTGAATGATCACTTTATATAGAGTACCGAAAGTAAAAATCCCATTCATTTTCTCCACAGGGTAAATGATTTTTAACAATAAACCTTTAAGAAAAACCTATTGTGAGTTGCAAGGTTGTTAACCGGTGGTACGTATACATGCTTTTGTTGAAGCCATCAGCCTGCATTATTCCTTATTGTTTAAATAGTCATGTTTAACAGAACAATTCCTGGCTAAACTACATTACCCATGATTCTGCAAAGCAATCTCCACCAATCAGAGAATCGCGACTAGCAAATCGTGCCAAAGAGGCCTTCCACTCCAATGAAACACTGTAAATGAAATAATAGCCAGCTACAGGCTCAAAATACTTAAATATTTCTGTATATGTGCATATTTTGCAATAAGCTTAAAATATGTTGTTTCTTTATATATAATTAACAACTTTAAATCAACAGTTTAAATTTCAGATGGGATTGGAGTTCTTTCCATCATTAAAATACACAGTCTTGTACCTTTGTCTTGTACGCTAAGTACACAGTGTTGTCACAATCATGCAGTTTTTTCGGACTATATCCTGGCCATAACTTGAGAATGTTTGACCACAAATTGTTTTCAGTTAATAAATAAATAAGATATTCTGATTTTCTTGCCGCGAAAAACTGACCTTTAATGGAAGTGTCAATAGTATTAATTTATCATGACTACACAAATTAATATCACTAGGAATTAGATAGAAGTTAGAAGTTAGTCTTTGAAGAATGTTCTCAACCCTCTTCCAAGCTCATAGTATGCCTGTGTGGGTTTGTTATCAGCAAAAGATGTATTGTGGCATTATTGATGGGTGTTATTTTGGGAGGCAGAATCTGAGAGTGAGAGTGAGAGTGAGCCAGTAAAGGAAGAGTAGAAGTAGTAGAAGAGGGAGAGAGATTTTCAGCCCTGTCAGGTTTAAAAGTGTTCAGCAGACAGTTACACTCAAACCATCCCAAATGGAGCCAATGCCCCGCTGTTCTCTCCTCCCATTCCCACTCATCCTTCGTTCCCCTGTCAGCTCTTTATTTCTACATTAGTAATCCAGCAGCATTGTCAAAGCCTGAATCACCTGTAAATGCTTGACTATGTGGCACATGAATTCCATGACAGGGGAATTGAGAAAATGTACCCTTGTTGTTCATAAATGTTTTGTACCAGTTATGAAACGTTATATATGTATATGTGAGTGTGTATTATCTACATAATACCGTTCAGAAGTCTGGGGTCAGTATGTTTTTTGAAAGAAATTAGTACTTTTATTCAACAAGGAGGCAGACAGTTGATCAAATATGAGAGTAAAGACATTTATTATGTTACAAAGGTTTCTATTTCAAATAAATGCTGTTCTTTTGAACTTTCTGTTCATCAAAGAATCCTAAAAAAATGTATCCACAAAAAATGCTAAGCAGTACAACACTTTTCATCATTGATAATAATGAAAAACTGTTTCTTGAGCAGCAAATCAGCATATTAGAATGATTTCTGAAGGATCATGTGACATTGAAGACTGGGGTAATGATGCTGAAAATTCAGCTTTGAATCACAGGAATAAATTAGATTTTATTTATTTATTTTGGAAAACTGTTTTACACTTTTAAATTGTAATAATATTACTGTTTTTACTGTATTTTTGATCAAAAAAATTGATATTTATATTTCTTGCACCTGTAAAAATGACTCATCATGGGCACATAATGATTTTGTCCCTCAAATAAAAAAAATTAATAATAATAATAATTTAGTTTATTTCTTCTTCACAATAAAAGAAAAGCCTATAAATAATTGCTATTAGTAAACCGTTACCAATTATTCGCCTTGTAAATTCTTTTAATTTATTCACCAAATCCAATTTATACTCACATTTGGCATTTATTTTGGGTTGTGCCTGTAAACATTGATTCACCAAACATATAAAGCTTTAGTTCATATTGTTTCTGCCTTTTGTTTCCTTCCTCTCCTTCCTTCTCATCCCCACCCCCCTCATTTTCGTAAAGGTCAAAGCTTTTAACAAAAAAGAAACTGCTGCCTGTTTTTACTGCAAAGGGCAGGCAGGTTTTTAAATGGCAAGATTATTTAAATATTGTGCAAACAAAATGCAAATATTGAAGAAAGTAATTAGCTTGAGCTCACGATTCTCAAGGGGTACGTGGGGCGGGTTACTCTGTATTTGGAGGCCATAAGATTAGTCCGAACTCTGTTAATGTTATTAACATTTTGCTTTTGAACGTATCGCTCACTTGTTGTTGCCAGAGTGTGTGGTTTTTCTTGCATGTCAACTGAGTACTTTCTAAAATCCTCAGTTGACCCCACAGACCAGTAACAGTTTGGGTGACGTGAAAGGGGAATGGGGGGATTTTTATGCAATAACATTGTATGTAGTTCAACTCTGTGCCCTGTGCTCTGCTTGAGTGTCAAGATCAGCTGATCACTCAACCTGAAACATCAGTTTTCAGTTAAACTCACAATGAGGCCAAGAGCTCATCTGTGAACAGCAGAATGTCTGTGGGGTCTCGTGTAGTTAAGAAGACTTGTCAAACTATCAGTATGAAGTCTGGTCCACTTTCTGGCCAGGTCTGGTCAGGTTTTTCTGGCCAAACACTGCCCAATTCAACAGGATGAGACAACCTGAACTGTTAATACACACAATCAGACTGATGTAATGCCGCTCCAAGTGTTCACTGGTCAGTTGAAAACACTGATGGTGTTTACACAAATATGTTGCAATGTTCTGTGTGGTGTTTATAAGTCAAAAGTCCCAAGTCTCTATGATATTCTGGACTCTAGATCTCGGTCTCTCCTTCAATATAAATCTGTGTATTTTTTTTCACCTATAAGTCAAAAGTCATAAGTATGATCAGTTTGAAAAGCAATAATGCACCTCTCCTCGACAAGATGACAGTATTCATGCTTGTAACACAAATGGAAGTATTATGGCAGTATTTAATACTTGTGGTTAGGGGTTTGTTCAGATCTCTAACCCCTGTAAATGTTCATCCTAAAGATTTATCTGTGCACTCGGTTGTCTTCACAAGTGGATTTCTATTTTAATAGGACGACTACCAACCCATAGCACAGCAGTAGAGTAATACCCAACAGCGCTTTGATCTGTGTGTGTGTGTGTGTCAGCCAGATTAAGTGAGAATATCACACAGTTTCTGTCACTTGTAATTTACAAAGTTGTGTGTGATGTACACACAGAGTCTGGTATTTCACCCTGCTCGATGCTGCTGAATGTGTAATTTGAGTCTATGTGTGCTTGCTTGTAATTGCGTTGCGTTTCCTTGTCACTTTCGTCTAGAAGCTCAGCGGGTGTGCATGCTATATGGAGCGTGTGTATTCTAGTGTGTACACGTATATTATGTATATTTTAGTCTAAATATTAATAATAAGATTTCAGGTGATACAGCCTCTGTGACCAATGAATTGTGAAGTTTTTTTCTGTCTTATTATATATGGTGTGACACCACCTCAGTGTACCCTCATTTATTAAACAACAGGAAATGTTAGCACAGACAATGAATACAGCATATTCTTGGGAAACTTTGTCATTTATGCTAATACTATACTAAGAATGCTATTTATTTACTTAATTATTTATTTAATTTGAAAAGATTACTGCAGAGCTGTGAAATTATCTCTATTTTTCTATCTATCTATCTATCTATCTATCTATCTATCTATCTATCTATCTATCTATCTGTCTGTCTGTCTGTCTGTCTGTGTATATGTATATATATTCATAAATGGCTGTCTTATTCAGGATATATAATTGCAAATATTATTGTGATTTGTGCCAAGAACAATATTTCATATTTAAAATTTGATCACAATGATTTCTTATTCTAACCATTTAGATGTCTGAAAATCAGACCATTATTTTTAAAGTCAGGAATGTCACAGCATAATGGAGTTGAACAGAAAGTGCAAGGACAAAGGTAAATTCTGCAATTTTCAGAAACGTCTTTAGAAAAAAAAGTACAGACAATGAAAACATATTTTATTTTCAATAAAAGGAAAAATGTTTATTCTGTACAACCCATTAAAATGTCATGGTGATGAATGGGAAATTGGATGCTATTGTGAATGACTGTGAAAAACATGTAAGAGTAAAATGATTGCTTTATTTTAAAAGGTATTGTGCAATTGCGCACTAAATCTTTCAAATAATGTTACGTTCAGTGTTCCATTAATTACATCAGTAAGTCACGGAGACGCACAAAACCCACAAATGGCACCATTTCCAGAGAATGAACTGATATATATCCTAATAAAACAAAATTTTTACATTATAACTGCAAAATCTACCTTTGAATGAAATGGTTTTGTGGATGTAATTGTTTATTGTTTGTTTTTCAGAGCTTCCTTATGGCTGGGAGAAAATCGATGACCCTGTTTATGGAACCTACTATGTTGAGTAAGTTCAAGCACTTGAGTTAACACGCATGGTTTAATGGCACTTTGGATCCCTGCGTTTTCTCACAGCTCTGTATTAATTGGTTATATTGCTGCTGCACCATGCCCAGGCCAAAAAACAGCTGCTCCGTTGTTTCCTAATTCAGTTCGCAGTGTGTTTGCGTGTGTGCCATCATTTTTCTTGCTTAATGCACAGTCTGGGGTGAGGTGGGACTATTTATAGTATGGCTTGCTTGGGAAGTGTTTATCCAAACATCTCGGGAGATTCTCTTGCTCCCTGTATTTGGCGCGCTGTGTTCCTGACTGTGCTCGTGCAGTGTCATGAACTGCGCAGACTCGGATCACTTCTGCCACTGGTTCAGTGGCTTGCGTTTTGTTTACCAAATTATGTCGCAATGATTTATAATAATAATTAGAGTTGTTATAAAGTCAAGTCCTGCCGAGTCATGAAGGTCAAATCAAGTCAAGTCTCAAGTCACTGGATCTCAAGTCCAAGTCAAGTCAAGTCATTTTCTTTATTTAGTCAAGCAAGTGACAAGTCCTTAAATTTGCGACTCGAGTCAGACTCGAGTCAAGTCATGTGACTCGAGTCCCCCACCTCTGATTATTATTATAATTATTATAATTATAATTATTATACATCTGTTTATCCATCCATCTATCTGTCTGTCTGTCTGTCTGTCCATTCGTCTATACATCTGTCTATCCATCTATCTGTCTGTCTGTCTGTCTATCTATCTGTCTGTCTGTCTGTCTGTACATCTGTCTATCCATCTATCTGTCTGTCTGTCTGTCTATCTATCTATTTATCAATCTATCGGTCTGTCTGTCTGTCCATCAGTCTGTCTGCATGTCTTCTAAATATTTGCTAAGAGAACATTTCATTTTGATTATATTTCCATTACAACACATGCAGAACTTTGCTTTTGCATGCAGCACTGTATGAGGAATTGCAGTACAGTCTGTCTACACCTCCGGTGATTACGTGCCAGTCTGTCGGCCCACAGATTCTCATCTACATCACATCGAATATCTTCCCTTGCAATGCAACGTGGAATTGGAGTCAAGTGAACCATCTCACAACTTCATATATGTGGATGAGGCTGGCTTCAACCTGACCAAAAGCAGAAGGCGTGGTTGAAATGTCATCGGCCACAGAGCTACTGTTGATTTGCCAGGCCAACGGGGAGGAAATATCCATTGTCAGAATTTGAAACTCTTGTGTTGTCCTCTGTCTATATATGCTTTCCAATTGAAGGTTCATGAGATGCTCCTTTGAGCTATTTCAGAGAACTGGTTTATCATTAGCTAATCTATACATTTTCTTCATTAGTGAAAGTCAAGATTCCCCTGCACAATTCATGGCAAATTTACACAAAGTCTAATAGAAATGTGTAGAAAATGCTTGAAAGTTTATGACAACTAGATCAACCATTTTGCATTTAATGACTTATACGATGAACTAATGACTAGATGTTTTGGAGGGTAAGACTGTTGCACAGAGAACTATATAGTACATTTTGAGCAACATGACATTAGCAACTGATAATGCAGGAAACCGCAGACAAATGTACATAATCAATTGCATGAATGTACCAAAGCAATCGCAACTTGTTCAAAAGAATGAGAAACTGCTATTATGATGTGCACAATTTACTAGATGATGTGGAGTTTGAGCAAGTAGTTTTGAGAATTTCATTTCTGAGCTGAGAAATGCACCAAAGCAACTGAGAAAAACTGTATTAGTAAGACATTATTTTTTATTATTTTATTTATTGTTATTTTAAAGCTACAAAACATATTATGTAAACTTTTCTTTTGTCTTTCTATGGAAAGGGAGAAAAACACATCTTCAGTAGTAATTGTACAACTGTAGGTTTTATGTTGTGGAAGATGACAGCTGGGAAGATCCGAAGCTGCATCTGGTGTGAAATGACTGTAATTTACTATAAATCTGTGTCTAGTGGCTTTTTAGAGGAGACACTTAACAAGAACATTATGCATAAAGCTTATCATTTGTATTTGTGTTGTGTATGTATTTTCAGGTTAAACAGACATCACTTTATCCTTACAGGCGTTAGTTAATAGGACCATGCCAGAACCACTTCCAAGGCTGGTTTGCACTTTGCCAAACCTTGACCTAATGTGCTATAAGAAAGCATGGAACTGATCTCAGATAAAGTACTAGGGACAAAATCCATTTGCTCATTATACTTTGATCTGTTGAATCAATTTCAAGCTTTAGACCTTAAAAGGAATCTAAAAGCAATATCTCAAATTGGACCTTGCATAGTATTGGCACAAAGCTGTAATTACAAATGCCACATCTTTACAAAAAACATTACCTCTTTTCAAAGGAATGCCTTTTAATGGAGCCTAATTGTCTTTGTACTTTCAAATGGCACGGTTTTCAGCGGCGCCTTTTAAAACAGATTGTATTAACTCTGACAGCAAGTGTTGTACAGAGAGTCAAAAGAACCATTTTTCTTCCAGATCAAGAGGATGGTCTCATTACTGTCTGATCTCATTCTTACATCACTCTTTTAACAAAAATGAGGACTAACTAGGCTTATGTTTCACTCAATGACCACAGCCTTAAATGATTTGTATCATTTATTAAAAGCAACACTCATGCTTTCATCTATAGTACATAAGATTAATGGCTCGTGTCAATTTTAGTTTTTTGGGTGGTGGATTGTTGGGAGGGCAAGATAATTTGCTCTGGCCAACCATGAGAAATGATACTGCAGGGTTTGCAGAAGTTTTCAAAGTGCATATAGCAAGAGACCAACATCATACAAGATACTGTTAATGTTAATGAAATATCACAGAGTGCATATGCAAGCTCAGTTAAAAAATTTATTAAAGATGGAGATGAAGATCAAAGGTAAAGTCAATAGTGTTGATTATAAACAATATATATATTCAATATCAAAAAGTATTACAAAAAAAGTTAATATAAATATTCATGACACAATATTTGCTTTTTGTGATGCTTTTTTTGACTGCATCTAATCACTCTATAGTATTTGGGTGCAAATTAATAATCTGATATTATGATAAATATTAATCAAATATAATATAGCAAGATAAATATGGAAATATATCAATTTATTTAAAATATTTACCTTAGTGTTTATTAATTGTATTTTGCTGGTGAATTACACTATTGTTGTGTATGCATTTACAAAATAGTTAGGTTTCTATGTTAACGTTGTTGATGCAGTGCATTGTAATTTTAATACATTTACATGCTTGATGTATTTATTTATTTATTTATTTGTAAGACAAACAATTTTAGTAGAGTTATCTCTCACCACTTGGTGTCCCGTGTAAAATCTTGGTCCTGAAGCAAAATCATTTGAGTTAGAGTATCATTAGCATATCGTTAGTCGGAATACACTACACGACATCTGCCCAGACTTTTGCCCCAGTTTTCAATCTGGATGATGCCAACGCTAGTTGCCGAAAGTCAGAGCCAGTCTGCAGATATTGGGCAGTTGAATTTGACAGATTTCTCAGAAAATTGTGCAATCAGTGATGGGCACATTGGAATCATTTGTCGAGTCGAGTCTCCCATGCACTTTACATGATAATCATTGTCTATTTGGAGTGCATAGCAGCTGCCTATGTAGAGTGTTGCAGATCAGTTACTTCAGTTAAACGGTTAGTTCACCCAAAAATGAAAATTAGGCTGCGTTTTACTCACCCCCGAGGCATCCTAGGTGTATATGACTTTCTTCTTTCAGACGAATCCATATTCAAGAGTTATATTAAAAATTGTCTTTGATCTTGTTGTGGAAGCTGTCCTCAGTAAAATGCGCAGCACACAATAGCAAATTGGGGTTATAATGCTCAGGAACAGAGTTAAAAAATAAATTGCAACCACTGTTTCCTGACATCATCCGCTTTCGGAAGCCCAAACAAAGACGTTTGGGCACGGAGGTGAAAAAAAACAGCGTTTCAGGTGGTCGCACCGGACGAGAGTCTTTAAAATTCGAATACATTATTTTCTATGAGTGTAGGCCGTTCAGCGTCTGTCCGCGGCGCCCAGCTACTTCGTGTTGTACTTGTAAGAATTGTTCTAGACATGCCGAAAATTTTACGCTACAGCACAGCAGCTCTTCTTCTTCGTTTTCTCTGATGCACTAACTCTGCAGCAGCAATTATTCTTCATCGTCTCGGTCCCTTTGGAGTGGACTTTGAGATTTGTAACTTTCTAGATCTTTTTTATGCACAAACATACACACTACACACTGACTAAAATTAAAAAAGTGAAAAAGCATAATAGGACCCCTTTAAGTTCTTTTGGACTGAAGCAATGCAACACCCGCTGAGTGGCATTAAACAGCTTGAAAGATCAAAGACAATTTTTAATATAACTCCGACTGGATTCGTCTGAAAGAAGAAAGTCATATACACCTAGGATGCCTCGGGGGTGAGTAAAACGCAGCCTAATTTTCATTTTTGGGTGAACTAACCCTTTAAAACGCTACTTGTGTAGGCAGTAGACGGCTAGGCAGCTAGCTAAATTGCTTATATACTGGATAAGCATGTTCTATCAAGTCGTCACTCAAGAAATACACTTGAATGAGTCTCTGTTTCTGGTTTTCTGATTGCAGTCACATAAACCGAAGGACTCAGTTTGAGAATCCAGTTCTAGAGGCCAAGAGAAGATTGCAACAGCAGCAGCAGATGCAGAGTCAGGGCTTGTCCTCTCTCCCCCTGCCTACAGTCTACAGAGGTAAAGTATTATTGTTATCCAAGATTGACATCCAAATATTGATATCCAAAAATGAACAGTTGAATTTTGAAGTGTGGTACTAATGCAAATCTGGTTAAACCATCATGGTGTTCCCAACCAGCCTATAGCTTAGGCACACCAAAGACATCTTAATAACACTTATCTGCTCTCCATGCAATGACATGTTTAACATCAAATCTGCTGAAAAGCTGATTGGGGTTTGATATTCATGACCATTATTATATTTCTCCTGTAAGCTCAGTGTTTGTCTCTATAGTAACACAACTAAGCTCAGACGTTGTCTTTGGAAGTGCACCGTGTGTGAACTTATTTTTCAGAATATTACTTTCTTACAGAATATTACTTTCTTACCTTTAGAATTATTCATTTTACTTCATCCAAAATGAAAACTCTGTCAATATTTACTTGTGCTCATGTTTTTCCAAACCTAAATTACTTGAGAAATTTTGAAGAACTTGCCTTTTTTTCCATGCACTTACAATGAATGTTAACTGAAAGTAAAGCATCAAACCATATAACCACTGACTCAGTCAGAACTGAAGTTGAGAACCAAATCAGTCTAATTTGTTAGCAAATCATTCTGACTGCTTCTTTTAACCTGGTCATCTTATTTATTGGCAATATTAAACTCAAATGAAACATTTAGTTATAGACTGGACATAACTGATTCTCTCAAGAACTTTCTTGGCTGTGCCAAGTAAGTCTTCTTGTTTGTAAAAGAAACACAAGTCATATGGACTACTCTTATACTTTTACAGTACTGTTGCATCCTTTTTGAAGTTCGAAAGCATTATTATCTCCATTCACTGTAAATGTATGGGAAAAACCAGCCAGTACATTACTCAAAATTTCTCCTTTTTTGTTCCATGAAAGAAAGTCAGTCATTCAGGTTTGGATGGACATAAGGGGGAGTAAATAATGACAGAATTTGTATGTTTTGCATAAACTAATCCTCTAAATCTACCTGTACAGTCTATTCGAGCTAAGCCTGAATGCTTCCTGTTTTTTTGAGACTCAGTTATCCATTGAGCATGTGTCTCCTTTCATAATATGACCTTGGACTGATTATGGTTAGAAGCATTTCTTGCAATATTTCCTGTTTAAGTTAATCCATTCAGCATGGTCATGCTGTTACCCACATAAAGGTAAGAGGCAGAGTATGTTCAGCCAGAATGGCGTAAACAAGAAGAACGTTCTCTACCTTTTTTCAGTCCATCTTTCAGAGAGAGCATGCTGTACTGAAAACCTCCAACATACCTACACTATATGGCCAAAGTATTACATGTGGGCATCTGAACACCACATAGGTGATTGATACACATTTAATGTCATAGCCATTAACAAGTACTTGATCCTCCCTTACAGCTCTCACTCTTTTGGGAAGGCTTTCCACTAGATGTTGAACCATGTCTGTAGGGATTTGCTCCCATTTAGACACAATAGCATCAGTAAGTGTCTGTGGTCCAATTCATCCCAAAGGTGTTCAATAGAAGATCAGGTTTGGTCTTTGTGCAGGCCAGTCAAATTCTGCCATAACAGAATCATGTATATATGGACATACATAGTCATGCTGGAGCATAAAATGACCCTTCACAAAATTGGAACTACTATATACTGTTACTGTATTTTGTAGAATTAAGATTTGTTTTAATTAGACCCCTAGTCAAAGTGGTTCATTTAAAGGGGGTATCCACATAGTGTTGGCCATGTAGTTTCTGATCTTGTGTCCACAAAAGAGAGTTTCAGTAGCTTGAGATTTAAGCATAACTGGACCATAGAGGACTGAGAAAGCATTTGCTTAATCTGGATGTTCAGTCTCTCCGATGCTCCGATGTTAAATTTAGACCAATTCAGAGTGTACTACTTTAATCTACAGAAAAGCTTTGTCCTTCATTAGTAGATCAACCCTTGTGACAACCGCAATTTGCCAAGTAGGATTTGCCAAGTTCCTGGCTCAATGTCCTTTGTTTGCCCTGGAACAGGTCCTAACCCTATTCCTAAACCCAACCCTAACCCAGAACTACCCCTATAACCAAAGGGAAAGTGAGAGGATGGTAATGTTTTTGAAGCTTCAGCCCTGTCCTTAACCCTAAAATCTGATTTTTAGGAACATTGTTCCAGGACCAACAAGAATGTTTGACTTGGCAAAATCACCATAGATTTTCTATTGAAATCTAACTCTATGTCCATATTAGGCCAACTTTGTATCCTTTAATGCCATTCATCGATTTCCTGTGTGAATTGAGGCTCCAACCACAGCCTTAGGCCTAGCCCTAAACCTAATTTTAAAATCAGATTGTTGGGAATGTTGTTCCAGGTTCAACAAGGATGTTCGAGTTGGCAAAATCACCCAAGAACTCTTGTAGAAATGTAACTCTTCTATGTCCATAGTAGGCCTACCTTGTATCCTTCAATGACATTTCTTGATTTCCTATGTGAGTTGAGGGTTTTTTTCTTTTCTGTAACAGTGGAGGAGAGCCCCTCCTCTGCCACCTTACCCAGGGCCAGACTGGCATACGTGGGTCCCGCTCCTGAGCGCTCTCATAGTCTCACTGACCTGCCCGAGGCCCCCCTGTACCGGGCCGGTGTGTTTGGACTGCATGGTATGTCCCTAGACCGGCGGCCCCTTGTGCAAGAGAGGAACTACAGCAGGAGTGTATTTGCCTGGCCTGTTTTTGCATAGTCTTCTAAGGAACAATCTCTCAGTTTCTAAACCAGTGAAGACTTTTCATTGGCTGTTTTTTTTTAATTTTTTGTATTTGTATTTTACTTTTTGCCTGCGCTTCCAGGATACTCATGAGTCCACCTACCCTGCTGAACAGACCAGTGTAACTGGTCGCAATCATATGTTTGGGATGCTGGTTTATAAAATATGCCTATGGATTCCACAAGGTTACTTATCTAGTAGGGGATGGTCGCCAAGTAACTAACTACATCCAACTAGTTGATTAGTGAGGGTCAACTTGTTGGATTTTTTTTATCTGGATTTTTTTTCTTTAGCATTCAGTTTTAGCTTTAATATTTAACACTGCCTTTTAACAAAGTTAAGATTGCAATTCTATTAGAATTAAGTTTACTATAATGTTCTATTCATAATTTGGGGTTTATGTCATATATTTTGAAAGCACTACTGTATACACAGATCTATGCTTACTGACTGTTAGTACCCCAAAACCATCTCTGCTCACACTTCTCTCCAACTACATGGCTCTAGTTTAGCATGTAACACCTCTTTTCAAGATCCAATCAGCTCCAGGTAGACAAAATCAAGTTCTGCTCTCATTTTGTTTACAAAGTAAGAGGTAAAATGGGTTGTGAATGCCATTTTATGTTGACTGTAAGACCATCTAGACAACCTGCCAAGTGCCAACATTGCGTGTCCCCATTATGTATATTAACAACAAGGAAACTTTGGTCAACCAGCTGTACCAGATGTTTTGCTGGTGCTTGTCCACCAGCTAGACCAGAACCAAACAAACATGAATCAGCATGGAAATGCATGCTGGTCTTTTAGCAGGGTATCTGGACCAGCTATTGTCCCTAACAAACGCATGGCAGAAACTGCTAAAGGACTAGACCTAGATGGTGGTAAAAAAAAAAAAACTTAAGAACCTCTCAACTAGGAAAGTGAGATGGAGTGACTATGGCTGGCATCTTGTAACTCCATACTGTGTACTGAAGTAGACATCTCTTCAGTTTCGAAGAAGCAGCTCTTCAGTACAAAGGTCCTTGTGTGTGGTTTCAGCAAAACGGCTTCTCCAGAATGGTTTTTGAGACTGCTTTCTCCACTCTGAGAGAGCAGAAGAACCGCCCTGCCTGTGCTGGTTCTTCTCCTGGCTTTTTTTTTGCTTAAGTCTTGGATGGCTTGAGAGACGGCCCTGGATGAGGCTAAACACTGTTGAGTGTAACATTGGAGTACATTTAAAGAGCCAAAAGTGAGGTTTGAGCAAAAAACAAGCCATCATGTCCCACTCTGCTCTTGTATGTTTGGCTGTAAGCAGAGCGCTTGGCCATCTACCCACAATTCCCCAGTGTGATGTGATCTGCTGCTTTTGATGGGTTTGGAGTGGCTTTTACAAAATAACCATTAGTTTCTGGATATCTTCTGCTTGATTACAAACTCATGTTTCTATCTGCATTTCTTCACCCTGGCAGAGAAGCCTCTGTTCACGCGGGACCCCACGCAGTTGAAGGGCAGCTTTCTGTCTACAGCCCTACAGAAAAGCAACATGGGATTTGGCTTCACTATCATCGGTGGTGACGAACCAGATGAGTTCTTACAGGTCAAAAGTGTCATACCGGACGGGCCTGCTGCACAGGATGGGAAAATGGCTACAGGTAAACACACACACACACACACACACAC